GTTTCATCGAAATTAAACCTTTGTTATCTTTCTAGTTCTTACTATAATACAGTTTGATCAACTTTCGCACAACTTTCTTATTTCATTTTTATTTATTCCTAACGTATTCTTTCATTATATTTTTCATAATACCAATTATAAATAACATTTTAGATTTGTACTGTAACTGTTTGATTTATAGATGTATGAGTGTATCACCAAAACATGATTTTTTTTTTAAATACAGCTTTTCATAGCAACGAAGTTAAGTTAGTCTAATTAGTGATAAAAATCTGTGTAATTGTTCAGAAGTTTGAGAAACATTCTGATTTTCAACTTTTTATGAAAGTGTCCTGAAAGAACTTTAAGAGACCGAATTCCATTTTTTTATCATATATAAATATCATATATAATATATCATATATCATATATAAATTATATATCATATATCATATATAATATAATATAAATATATCATATATAAATTAAAATGTAATAACAATAAAATTTATTAACATGAATATGTATGTGTACAAAAAATTTAAATAAATCTCCATGTACTTTATTATTTATTAATCTAAATTTTTTGATTACAAATAAAATCCAAATTTTTGATTACTGTGTGCATGTATGCTGATCACATCGCAATATCACATATATGAAACATGACAATTTGCATATACAAGTAACATGGAGATTCGGAAATAGGTAACAAGAAAGGAATTGAATTTAAGTCAAAGCAGTCAGTCAGTTAGTTTATATATTCAGTTGCATATATCTAATTTATTTAAATTTATCTTTCTTAAAAATTAATATTACTAAATATATGTATACCTATAATATATATCTATAATCAAGAGAAAATATAATAAATAGATTAATGTCACAAAATATTTTGCAATCTTATACATCAATAAAAAAATCTAGATGTTATTGGCTATATCGATTTTTTTATATCGGTATCCCACAATTGGCTAATAAAAAATCGATTACCTTACAATCATTTCTTTTCGCGTGTCATGGATGTAATGGAATGAATTATTAAATATTTTGCGATTATTGATTACATTAAAATGCTGTTGTTGTTTGCATATTTTATACCTTTGTATGTATGACACATAAATAATAACTCTTTAACTTAAATAATGCCTATAATTTATTAAACTCTTTATTATAATTTTAAATTGTTTATTTAAAAAATTAATTTTTTTGAAAAGATTTTATATTTAATTTTTGTTATCTAATTATTTAATTTTTCAACAAAATTAATTGTTTAATTTTATTATCCTCGTATTTCGTGATTTTTTTTATACAAGTATACAAGTATACAAGTATAATTTTCATGATATTCTATATAATACAAGTATGTGTGTATTTTAGAATTACGATACAAAATATAAATTTCCATTCAATATAAAACTGTATTCATGTTATATATGTATGTAAACATAA